AATAATAGGGAGACCATCCAAACACCGCGGAAACAGATCGGACACTTGATCAGCTTAGCAACTCTGGGGCAGTAAGGAAATTGAATGGTTTGTGTTGAAGAAGTTAGATGGGTGGAGATGCGTTGAACAACATCACATCCTAGGGCTAGTCAGCTTTGAGCTTAGCCACAAGCATTCACCAGCTGACCGTGGGTGAAGCCTAGGAGGGTTCGTGCACCTGAAACGGAGAAGGACCCAAATTGTGGGCGGCCGGAGGTGTTCAGTCCCCAGGGATGTCCACCTGCAATGGTTTGAGGGGTGAAGCTTTGACCCACCGCCAATATGGAAGCGCATGGAACAAGAGCTGGGGCACGATCCATCGGTGCCTGTCTTTTTCGTGTGTGTGTGTGTTGGTATCAAAAGGACACATCCCATGATCCTATGCCCTTGGCAGATGAATGGCCCATGAACAGCGGTTCTTTTGCTGTTCGGCGCCAGTGGGTTGGACCTATTGGATCCATCGATTCTCAGCAGTGGGTCCTTCCGTCACCTGTGTTTCACTATGATCAAACCATACCATCCCGTACGTTCATCGGAGGAGCTGTGGCAACTCCCTGCCCAGAACGTTGGCGGCCGCCGCCACGTCCGCTGATGTGGATGAGAAGGCGGATTCCAAACGAACTCGAAGTCGTTGTTGCAACCGCCGCGGGGGCAAGTGTACCAAGTGCAATGGTACCTTCTACTGCCTTGGGTAGTATGTCTAGCAGGCGCTTTTGGGGGCACAATGACTGCGTCAATAATCTATCATAAACATACATTAAAATTGCACAGAAGAGTGTGTGTGACTTGACACTGAGCATCTCACAAGTGGCTAATGGAACCTCACTTGGAATCTTGAACATTGCATGTTTAACACTGAAGCCCTTTGTTTTCATCCTAAAAGAGTCGTGCACCCAGACACCAAAGGGCCAAACGCAACACGTTCTGAGGATTCTTGCGCACCACACGATGAAGATTAACATGGAGAGACCAAACACATGGGAACCTCTAATGAACCTCTACACCAGCTAGGAGACGCTCGCGGATCTCTTCCTCTCCATGGATGCAGCCCAGGCAGATATTTAGTGCTGCGAGAGGTGTGGCTAAATAGTGTAATGCTGAATACATAGCTGGCAGCTAATGCGTGAAAATATCTCTATAGCAGATCAACCTGTGCGATTTCTCTCAGATTTGGGGAATGGAAAGGATTTATGATAGGTTATTTTGGTCAGGCTTTCGGGTTGTGTTACTTTCCCACCAGAATTGTGCTTTTGGATCAAATCTTGGGTCAGGCCAGATACTATAGTAGGCCAGATGGCCAACCCCAAATCACAGGGATATCGACCATCATTTTTTGATCGACCATAATCTTTGTGTTCATTGATGGCTGAAGGCAACCTCACTGTTTGACAAACACCCCTCTTGCAGGCCGAAAGGATTGGAATTGGAGTTTTTCACTCGACGCACATCGCCCAATGAGCGGACTTCCATACAACCTATAACGATTGACCGGCGGATCAGCATGCATTTCTGGTCGGTCCGGCTGTTCTTTGGTTCCGAGAGCATGGACTGATCCTTGCCACTATGCAAGTGGTATGTAAAGCATCTGAGTATTGCCCCTAGCAGCGTCCTTGCTCAACAGTAATAAGGCCAGGAGCCCCTACTGACTGCATTCGAAAGAAAACACCAGACACTCGCAACAGTCACACCTGCGAGGTCGCTGCGTTGCTCTCGAGCTTAGACCGCTGCGCCGCCGAAGACACCGAAGCAGCTGCTCAGCTGCGGAGCTTGTGGCAGGTGGTGCCACAGCGAGCATTGGTGGCCAAGTGGGCGGAGCATTTGCGCCCCTCGGAGGGTCGAACTCAAGGGGAGACCGGGTCAAAAATCGATGCAAAATCGATACAGGACCTATATAATTCAGGGTTCACGACCTGAAGGTAGTCGCTCTCGCATTGGTCTTTGAAAGGAGTGTGTCTTGCTTCTTTTTTTTCTGGACATGTGTTCATATTTGATATACTGCAAAGATCTGCAAAGTGGTTGCAAGGCGTTTTCGGAGTCGACACAAGCTCCGTTCTTTGGCCTTGAAACCTCAAACCTGTGTGCAGTAGGACAGGGTTGCCATGGTACGCCCAAATTCATCCAAATTCGAGTTGCCTACAGACTTTTTCTGAGCAGTTCCACTTTGGGACGGGAGTAGGCTCCACTTTTCCTGGCACTGGCGGGCTTGGTAGGAAATCCTTGTGCGAATCGTGAGAGCCGCAATCCTGAATAGGAGGCCTTGACGACCATAGTTGAAAGACAACGCCACTGTCTGGGCCATTTTCTCAGGCCAGTCAGGTCTATTGGCTTTGTAAATAGTAAGTGCCATTAAAACGTAGAGCCAGCTTGGTTTGTCTCCTGATTGTGGTCTTTTGGCGCCCCTCCATTGTGGCATCTCATTCTCCTACAGTTTATGTAGTTCTTCTTGCGCCAGCTGAGGTTGAGCATATCCCTGCAAAGCAACATCCTTTTGTTCGCAATATGTGGGACATTTTATTTCATGTGGGAGTGATGCAAGCATCATGCTGAATCATGTCATGCTGAGGAAGCACGTTGGACAGTATCCTGCGCTCTGAAGCTTGGCTTCAGAACACACCAGCAGCTGACAGCTTCAATTGGAAAGACTCCTGCCATGCCTCCAGCATTGAGAACAAAGAATTAAAACACCATTTGTTGAATCTCTGGACCATTTGTTCTGGAACTGTTCTTCCGCAAAAAGACACCTCATTCGCGTCGACTCGCCAACTCGCCGTGCCGTGCCTCAGTTCTTAGGTGCTGTCTTTGTGAGGACGACCGAGGCGAGGGACCCGACGGAGCCCTCTGAACCAGGGGTTCGGTGGGACTGGGGTGGGTGCAAGGTGGGTCTAGCCACCGAATCTGAGGAGATGATTGGATGATGTTGGAGACCTAGGAACAAAAATCAAGTATGCCGCATGCCGCCTTCCACAACATGTTCAACTTTCTTGACCTTCCTTTGGAGCCACAGGTTAGGCTTGGCCAAAAGGCTTGCCAGTAGTGGAAGAAAAGGAAGATGCCAGCTGGCCTTGAGGAGCTTACACCAATGGGCCATTCAATTTTCTTCATTTTGGTCAACCAATTGCATGCATTCGAGCGTGAATCAGAGACTATTTCCTTTGCGCTACGAACCATGTTTGAAGATTCCTGTACGGCCTAAATGAGCTACCGAGCTGCTGTAGATTCTTATATTATATGATGCAATCTTCTGACAGCACAGTGACCTTGGATACACCCAAGCAAGCAAAAAGCTTCAGCCAACCTGTGTTAGATTGCTTACTCATGACTCAAGTCACCCTAAAGAAGCTCTTCATTTCATACAAGCATCAGCTTGCGGCGCTCTCGGCAGGAGGGTGTTCATGAAGTTCGGCATCACTGGCGTGATGGTTCTGGCAGTGGACGTGTCGGACGTACCGCCCTGAAGGATGCGTTCGATGATGGTGTTGGGAACGAGGAGGGTGAGTGCACGTGGGTACTTTAAGACTTTAGTCTTGAAAGAAGTACTTCACCCAGGACCTCATGTTGTTTTTGTTCATGTATTGTCCACTCCTGTCTGTGGGATTTTCATGTTTCCTGAAGCAAGTGTTTGGAGACTTGTGAATCACATCCGTCCTCCACGATACCGCAAATTGTTGAGGAGGATTGGGAGAAACATGTGGGGTAGCCAACAGAGACGATCACGAGCTGTCGCATGAGCTTAGTCAAGAGAGGTGTCTAAACTTCCCTTATTTAACTTAATCATTTACATATTCTTTGGGCACAGAATCCCAACGGCAGGCGGCGAAGCACATTTGATTTAACATGTGTGTGCCCATGAGAAGGCGACAGACGACGAAAGAACTGATTCATCTCTTCCGGTTTCTTCCGACAAGAACTCGACCTTTGCAAGGAGGTGGCCTCTGTGCCAGCTGCTGAGGGGCACAGCCATCAGGCGCAGCCATCTGGGTGCAGCCATCTCTCAAAGCCTGTGATTCATAGCACCATCTCTCTTGAAGCCTTCTTGGATTCCTGAACCACTTCTGTCCGAATAGACAAAAGTAGCCTTTGGGGCCACTGGCCACTTTTCCCCTTGACGAAGGTGGGCTTTTTCTGCAGAATAGAAGATTTCATAGGTGGTTCCCTCAGACCAGCATCATGTCTACAGAAGAAAGAGGCTTTTCGGCAGATTTGGTTCTATCGAGTCTGCAGATTGGTGCTCTTCCCGTCTTCCATGCAGACTGCGCCTCCCTGACCCAACGGACAGGTCTTAAAGGCTGACAAATGCCGGTAAAAAAGGCAAGCTGAAGACATGCCTTTTTTGGACCGAGTGCACGGTTTTCAGAAATGGGGTTTGGAGCACAATGAAGATAATGATTTCGCAAGAATGAAGATGCCATGTCCTTTTCACCTGTCTCACATGGTTTGCTGTACATGCGGGCTTTAATCGATTCTCCACAACGTATTATGGAATTGCCACCTGTGCTTTTTCTCTTGCCAGGAACGGATCCATTTGTTGAGCCCGTCCAGCGAAGGAGGAATCTGAGAGATCCTGAGAGCGTTGGTGGAGAAAAGGTCTTGGGCTGTTGGGATTAGTGGCTGCTGCAGCTTTTGATCCGTTGAACAGCAGTATGATTGCATCTTCTGTTCAGCTGGTGTTGGGGAGAAAGCTGTGTTTTTGGATTTTATTGTCTTTTGCTCAGCACTTGACCTGGCGATTCCAATACCTTCCATGCTTTGTCCAATCAGACCACAACATGGCTGTTCACTGAAACTTGAAAGGAAGTCAACACTCCCATCAACGCATGTATTTTACCACCGACATCTAGAGACCCCCCCTTTTTTCTGCCGAACGCATTGGAGCGCGATCCCCCCATTGCGCAAGATTTGTCATTGAACTTGGGATTGTTCCACCCAAGGACAGCGGATGGAACCCACCAAAACGCCTTGAGGTGGCCCCGCCTGGAGCTGGAAAGACCACAGCCAGGGGCTCCCGGACGGGCCCTGACTGAGGCGAAGAGTGTCGCCGATCCGACGCCCCCGTTTGGTGGGGATGAGGGCGAAATTGTTTGGTGGTTGGTTGCAGTCGGGTCAGCAGGGACAGACACACATGCACACATACTGTACATATTATATAATATATAACTTAATATCATCTACATATATATATAATATATATATATATATTAGATATATGTAGATATATTCAAGTATAGTATTAGATAGCATTAGACAGAGCTAACGGCTAACTTCAACTGAAGTCGAGTATGTGTGCCAGGTGCGAGATCATTGTGCGGAGCCAAGCAACTAAGCAACTGGGGAATCTCAGAATACATGCACCCACAATTTCCATATGCATGCGTACAAATCGGCAGACAGAACACCCCATCCCTCGGTTCGGAAATATATATGATACGACAAGACCTGTTTAAGGACGTGTCGCAGCATGTCTCAGCGAAGGGAAGAGGAAGCCTTCGGCTTAGGCACCCCTCACCTTGAGAGATGTTCTTGGATGACAAGACCATGAGGATTGATGAGGATTGTAGTTATGAAGCAAGGACGCTACTAGGGGCTCCTGGCCTTACTACTAGGAGCAAGAAGCTACTACGGGCTCCTGGCATCGCTACTAGGGGTTTAAGTCTCTGTGAGTCTTTATGAAGGTGATCTTGCTACACCCTTCCCCTTCAAATGACCTTGCCGATCCTGGAAGAGCCGGTTCTTAGTGGTGGTGCTTCTTTGAGGGTAGCGACATACGACAGTTCTACCAAATCAATGAGCAACATGAATACGATGATGATATATATATATATATCTAGATCATGTGCATTAATCCAGTCACCTGCAGCTTTGGACTTTAGGCAGTGCCACTGGCCCTTCTGGAGGATCTCTCAGGAGGCCAATTTTGGGTGCTGGATCAAGCAAAGAATTCTTTGGAAAACTGCCTAAGCTGCCTAAGACTGGAGCATCTCCCGTCCTACACTCTAGTGTGACAGGAAAGGTTGACCAGTGGAGTTCGTGTTGTCAGCTGAAGTGTCATGGCAATTCCCAAGTGCGGCACGAGAGTCCACCTTTTTTGGCCAGTCCACCTTCAAACACAGGAGCGCATGTTTCCATTTTGCACATGTCCGCCAACCCCAACGCACTAGGCATGGTGGTGACCGAGCCGCGACGGATGGCGGCTCGCGTGTGAGACCGAGACTCGAGAACAGACTTGAGAACAGACTCGAAGAGACTCGAGATCTTTGTGCAAGAAGGGGCCATCTATTGTGATGTAGTAATCTAGAAGCCTCTAAGAAGCCTTAGTTGATTCCACTACGGCAGCTGCAATCGAGTTTGATTCTCGGATGGTTTTGTTGAGGGAGACGCATGAGAACACTTTCTGGTACTTGTACTACTTGTACCCTTGACATAGGCCATCCACCATGATCAAGTAAAGCTGTGCCCCTTCGGCAGCCTTTAAGATGTTTACAGTTAAGTTAAATAGTATACTGTACGCCTGCGGATGCAGCATTGCTAGCAAGTCATTCAGCGAATTATTTTAGAATAGAAGCAGGATGACAAAGGGCTCATATATATATATATATACAAATATGGTTGTTAGTGTTTTTGTGTGTGTGTGCAACGCCCCATCCAGACCGTCACAGGCATCGTTGCGCAAGGTAGGGTAGACAAGGGTGTATATGCTTGTGTAACGAAATAAGGTGCTGACTCATATACACCCATGTATACATGAGTTTGGACTGCTTTGAGGGTAGTTTTGTGGTGGACCTTCCCTCATGAAGAAAGTCACACTCGTGCCAGCAAGACACCATATAGGGGGGGTGCGAAACATGGAGGGTGGATGGGTCTAATAGCCATCCCCGACATGGAACTCCTGACATGGGTCATTTATTTGATCAAGCTCGTTGCATGTCCAAGAATTCCGTAGAATCCCAAAGCGTATCGCGAGATATTATATATATATATATATATTTGTGAAAGTTGAGTTTGCTCTTCGGTGTTGGGCATGCGGAGGAACATGGTTGTTCATGTTCGCTTGGATCAAGGCCTGAAGCCATTTCGTGCTGCGCCTTAGGTGAAAACGGCGCGCTGGCAGACGCTCTTGCTAGTGCGTCTACAGTGGCACCGGAGCCTATCTCGATCTGGGCATTGCACTCCGCCGTTGCTTGCCTTGCTTCGCCTCGCTTTTGCCTCTTTTCTCCTCGTCTTCGTGGCCTTCAAGCTAAGCTTCTGGGCTGCTCCACACGACCTCGAGCCAGACGCTCTGGACTTCGTGGTCGGTGCCAACCTTTTGAGAATAACTAGATTCTCTTGTTTGTGGACACCTTTTTCTTGAACCACTTCACTGTGCCCTTGCCGCCGAGCAGTGCCTTGTTGGAGTGACCTTTGAGGGTACATAGACCCACCTTTTGCTTTGGGCCCTACCGTTGTTGCGCAACTTCACTTTCGGTCTAAGACCACCTTTTCTTTGGAGAGCTTCAGAACTTGCGGAGCTCCTTGAACACCTTGCAGCAGCCTCACTTTTGTTTTTGGCCATTTTGGCCGTGAAGATGACTTCAGCCGAAGAATCCGGCACCAGCTCTTGGTACCGGGTGCCGACGTGGTCGGGCAACCCGGCGGAATGGCGACAGTTCCGCCGGGAGATGAACTGGTGGATGGCTTCGCTGGATGAAGAATCCTGCAAGAAGTTCAATGTTGCCGCCCGATGGGCACTTAGACAATATGGTGTGGTCAGGGCTCGTTGTGAAGAATTCGATCCCCAGGATCTTGAAGGGACCAAGGAAGAAGCCATGACCGATCCTGACACCGGCGACAAGGTGATTCGGGTTGCTGCAGACCCTTTTGCTGGCCTCAAGAAACTCATGACTGCCTTGGAGGCCACGGTTGGGAAGACAGCTTTGGATAGAAAGGGAGAACTCCGATCCCTTTACTATCAAGAAATCAAACGCAGCCCTGGAGAGAGAATCTCAGCATTTTGCACGAGATTCCGGACCCTTGCAGCTGAGCTCAAGCGGGAAGGCATAGTGATGCCGGAAGAGGAGTTAGGCTGGATGTTGAAAGAACGTTTGGGACTGGATGCAATCAGGAAGCAGTTACTGGAGACAGCATTGGCAGGTCGGGAGAACTATGATGTGGTCGAATCAGAATGCCTTCGTCTGTTTCGAGATTTGCACTCCTCCGACCCTTTGAACAAGAGCCGACCTTTTGACAAGGCACCACTACTCCAGCGTTTCCTACAGTCTCATGACAGACACAGCTCCTCTTCGTCCTACAGGCCTTCGACTACAGCCAGCTCGACGGCTCCCTCTTCTCGCTCCTTCCGGACTCAGAGCTCTGGTTCCAGCCGGCCACCTTTCAAGCGTTTTGGCCAGCAGCCTCAACCTCGACAAGCCTTGATTGCCGAGGCCCCTGAAGAGGAAGGCCAGATGGAGGCGGAAGATGAAGAGCTGATTCCAGACGATGATGGTCAGGGTTACTCTCCTGAGAACCCGACGATCGAAGAAGTCCTCCAGACCGAAGCTGAGCTTCTTGCCCAAGAGCTGCAGGAGCTCGAGACTGAAGGTTGCGACCCTCGAGTGCTTGAAGATTTGGAGAGCGGCATGGAACAGGCCGCAGAGAGTCTGTTGACAATGCGTGAAGCACGCACCAAAATAGCTGAGGTCAAGAAAGACCGTGGATATGGAAAGCCTGGCCAACCGGCTCCTCGTTCGACGAAGCCCCATGGCAATCAAGTCCCTCGCCAAAAGAGCACTACAAAGTGCTTCGACTGTGGTGAGATGGGACACTGGGCTGGTGATGCAGGCTGCAAGGCCCCTGGTGCTGGCCTGGCTCGACCCAAAGGAAAGCCTAAGAGCCAGATGACGAAGCAGGTTCGTGTCACCGAGACCCTGAACACTGAACATGTGGCTCCTGAAGAACCTGATGACATGGGCCACGAGGTCATGACAGTGGCCGCCGGCGATTCATGGGATCGCCCATTGTTCGAAGTCCTCATGCAACACCATACCGACCCCAAGAGCACTCCACGTCTCGCACAAGACAAGAGATTCGTTGGAGCTTTGGATAGTGCTTGCAATAGAACATGCGCAGGTTCCTCATGGTTGGCCTTCTACCTCCAAGCCCTCGAACGTGCTCCTTCCTATATCCAGAACCTCATCATCACCACCCCCGAGAATGAGTTGTTCAGGTTTGGAAATGGTGGTACCCAAAGAAGCACCGTGAGGTACAGACTCCCTATGGCCCTGGGTTCGACTTTGGTTTTGGTGTGGGTGTCAATAGTGCCAGTGCCATCGTTGGGACTCCTTTTGGGAAGAGACTTTTTGAGCGCTATCGGTGCGGTCCTTTCGTTCGGCCGCAAGCTACTGAGAGCTGACTTGGTGGGTGGCGAACTTTTGGAGTTGGGTCAGCTGGCCGCAGGCCACTTCGCCCTTCCACTCCAGCCACGCCAATGGCCTCGTCCGGACTCCCAACGCTGGCGGAAACTTGGACAAGACGGCATAGTTGAACTTCAGTTGAACAGTTTTGATTTTTGGAAGAAACAGTTGCAATTGAAGATGAGTCATTTTGAAGTGCCTTTTGAGTCAACCTCCGAAGCACCGCATGAGCACCTTGTGACAGAGCATGCGATCCTTGCTGCGACATCGGCCGGGGCTCAAGCTATGAAGGTGGCTCAAACACGTCCTTCAGCCCCGACGACATCCTCTTCGACGACCTTTCGAGACCTCGCAGGATCTGTGGATCGTAATGGAAGCGGCCCAGCACTTCGACCTGACCGAGAACGAATACACGAAGGTGGTGCTGCGCTGGCGGCGAATGCTTCTCCGCCTTCGCGCAAAGGCCGCTTGGCACGCACGTGGCTTGCTCTTGTGGCTGTTGCCTCGTCCGCAGCTGCGGTACGCGCCCTTTCCGTACCCCAGCATCAGCCATACCAGACATTGGCAAGAACAAGCCGAATCTATGACCCTCCAGAAGCCAAAGGCATTGATGGTCAAGCACTGGCAGCGAGCTCGAACCCAAGAACCGTCAGTGTACACGACCAAGAACCTCCTGGACTTGGGACAATTCAGGAACCGTGCTGGCCTCAACTTCGCCTTCATGGAGGACAACATGTTGCAAGGAATGCTTGCGGCGCGCGCCAGCAAAGGCCTGACGGCCCAATTGAAGCGGGATGCCATTCAGGAAGCCCAACTCGAAGCCGAGGCCGCTACCAAGCGTGGAGAGAAGCACGACATGGTGCGCTCCCTCATCGGCCCAAAGGGAGGCCTGCCAACGTTGAAGGCAGACCTGGTGAAATTGGCTTCACTCCTGAACATCCCCGTCCAGACTGGAATGACTGTGGAAGATCTCAAGAAAGCTTGCCGCCCCTTGGTTGCCGAGATCGCTCAAAAGCCAACTCCCTCGAAGGCAAGTGGATCTACCAGTTCAACGGAAAGACATGTCCCCGAGACTTCAATGGCGAGACCTTCTCAAGCGCCCGAGACAATTGGCGCAAAGGCCAAGGCATCTCCTGGAGTGACCGCTCAAGAGCTACAGGAAGTCCTCACCATGCAGGACCACAAGTTCCAAGGGATGCTGAACCAAGTGCTCCAGAGCATTTCGACCCTGCACCAAGCATCGCACCTGCCAGGACCTATGACTTCCGGTCCGATGGAAACCGAAGCAACCATGGACTTCGGCTGGACCCAAGACGAGATTCAACAGATGAACCGCGACTACTACCAGGACGACTTGGAGTGGCGCCAGGCCAATGGAATTCCTCCTCGCGACCAGTGAGACCGATGCTCGAGCTGGAGACGAATCCTTGGAGGATACATCAGGCGGTGAAACCTGGTCAGGCTAAAATGATTTCGGATGCTTGGGAGCGTCATGAAAGAGACCGTCGCCTTGTGTCGCTCAGTGCCAAGGAAGTGAATGAAGTCTATGAGGAGCAGTGGCATCGAGCGATGGACCACTTCCAGAACGAGATCTTTGTCACCACCCTCACCGTTGGCGATGAGAAGTCTTTTCAGTCCCATGCCATGTCTGAGAATAGGTTGATTTCAAAGAACCCCGACCTTGTTGAGAATGACCGCTTCCCCAAGACCTTTGTCACTGAGGTCTACACAAACACAGAGCGAGTTGCGCAGACGGCTCGCAAACGAGGACATCGAGTGGGAGCCTCAATGAGCTTGGAATCAGGATGGAACTTTCTCCGTCCACTGGATCGCAAAGCTGCCAGAGCCGTCCTGAAGCGTGAAAGTCCTTTCTTTTTGGTGCTGGCATTTCCTTGTTCATTTTGGAGTGTGTTACTCAACCTCAACCCTCCGAAGAATGACACCAAGATGTATGAGGAAGCGATCACCCTCTTGCAGTTCGCCCTCCAATTGGCCAAGGACCAGAAGAGTCGTGGTTGTCACTTTGTTTTGGAGAACCCTCAATCCTCTAGAGCATGGACCCTGGAAGAGATGCAAAGAGCCTTGGAGCAACTTGAGGCCCGTTGTGTAGTCTTCCACCAATGCCGATTCCGCTTGAAGAACCAGGCGGGTGACCTACTTCGGAAAGCTACGAGGATAGCCACTTCGAGTGATGAGGTCCTTTCCCAACTGGACGGCATGAAGTGTCTTGGCAATCACCCTCATGGTCACATCATTGGGGGAAAAGCTGTTTCAGAGCCCGCTGGCCACTATCCGTGGGCCCTCGCCAAGGCCCTGGTGGTTGGAATGGAAAAGCAATTTGAAGCTGACTTCAAAAGACCACACAACATCCTTGCCATCGAAGACGGTGAGGAGGCTGAAGATGAGACCGCCCTGCCGATTGACATGAACCAGAGTGACTCTGATCAGGAGTCCACTGAAGCTGTCACTGGACCCAAGGTGTCAGCTGCTGTGAAGCAAGCTCTTCGACGCCTACATGAAAACACGGGCCACCGATCTGGCCGTCGCCTAGCCAGAGCACTGGCTATCACTGGTGCCCCTCCGGACATCATCCATGCTGCTCGTCACCTCAAATGTTCAATTTGCGACGAGCGGAAGATCCCAAAGGCCAGACGGCCTGCTACCTTGCCACTACCCAAGGATGTGGGCGACCAGGTCCATGTGGACCTCTTTGAGATTGAAGACATTGGCGAAAAGCGCTTCTATGTGATCCATGCCATTGACTATGTCTCCAGGCTGCAGTTTGCTGAAGTTTTGGAAACAAAAGGTTCGAGCATGGTGGAGCGCTTCTTCAAGACCAGGTGGCTACCCATCTTGGGAGCACCCAGAGTCCTGATAGCAGATCAGGGCAAAGAGTTCGTGTCTGCTGAGTTTGAAGAGTTCTGCAGTTCATGGAGCATCTACCTCCACCACACCGCGGTCCAAGCCCCTTGGCAGAATGGTGTATGTGAGCGCGGTGGCGCTATCCTAAAGGGCATTCTTCGTTCGTGCATCAAGGCTCATTCGGCCTTGGGAAAAGATGATGTTGAACTTTGTCTCCAGGAGGCAGTAAGCGCCTACAACTCGGACATCAACGACGCTGGTGTCTCTCCTACGCAAGCTGCCTTTGGAAAGCAACCCCGGATGCACGGAGATTGCCTTGGTGATTTTGGTCGCCGCTTGAGTGAGCATGGACTCATCGACTCCCGGCCGAGTTTGGCCAGACAAGTTGCCATGCGAGAGACTGCTCGGTTGGCGATGGTGCGCCTTCATTTTTCCAAAGGCCTTCGACGAGCTGAACTAGCCCGCTCTCGAGGACCGACGGCAGAGCATGGCCTATCTCCTGGAGATATCGTCTACTTCTTCAGACAAACTCGGTTCAACAACCGAACAGCTGCATCCAAGAAACGCCTCAGTCTCAAGCGATGGCATGGCCCTGCCCTCCTCGTCGCCTTGGAGGGCAATGTGAATGGATATGTGAGTTTCAGAGGACAACTGACCAAGTGCGCTATTGAGCATTTGAGACCAGCCAGCTCCCTGGAACAAGTTGCGAGTGAGGTATGGCAAGATGCCATTCAGGAAGTCATCGATGCGGCATACCATGATCGACAGATACCAACGACCTCCTCATCTACAACCACCTCGGCTGAACCCGAAGCACAGGGTGGACCGATGACGGGAGTGCCTCTACCTGTTGAACCTGTTCCTCTTTCGGCCGTACCTGAAGAAGCTCCTGCCGATCTACCACCTTTACATCCTCAAGAGTTCGTGCAAGCCCTCGGCAATGCTCAAGGTGGTCCTATCTCAAGAGGATGGTCTCGGCATACTTCTTCTTTGCCAGACTTAGGTACATCTCCATTTCCTGAAGCTGTACGAGCTGCCTTTGAACAGAGACGGCAGAGCGTTTCCAGTGCCGCCCCAAGTGCTAGCGGCGAGTCACAAGCTTCCAAGAGGCCTGCTGAACTGGATGCTGAGCGCTTGCGTGAAGAAGCTCTTCAACCAGACCCTGTTGCTCCAACTCCGGATGAAGTTCCTGATGAAGCTTCAGAAGCCCTGAGAGTGACTCATGAAGTGATGGAAATGGAAGCATATGCCAATGTGCATCCGCTCCGTCAGATCCAGATCATGGCGGAACAGGATCGTCTGAATCCCTTGGAAGCCAGAGTCCGAGACCATGGGACATGGCGTGGCAATTGGCCTCTCCCCTCGGACAGAATTCAGACGACGGCAAATGCTGAAGCAACTTTGGCCCCTTGGCAATGACGATGCTGCTCAGGAAGTGCTTGCAGTGCTCACTGCTCGTAAGGAGCATGTATGGAGTCACATGTCGGACTTTGAGAAAAAGGAGTTCCGTGAAGCAGCAGCCAAAGGATGGTCCGTATGGGTTGAAAATGAGGCCATCGAACCTCTTCCAGATGCCGAAGCTGCCCGCATTAGGCAGAAGTTGAAGACAGAAGGTGAAAGCCACCGCATCTTGGTTCCTCGCTTCGTCTATGTGGACAAGAATGACGGACTGAGGACGGCAGACCGGGACCTTCCACTCAAGGCCAACGCCAGGCTGGTCGTCCCCGGATACCAAGACATTAGTGCATATGGCCTTCGCTGTGATGCTCCAACAGCGTCGAGAACTTCTCAGCATCTTTTGCTGACCTTTGCCGCCAGTATGAAGTGGAAGCTGGCAAGTGCTGACATCAAGTCGGCATTCATGAAAGGTGAAGAGTTTGGCCCCAATGAACGCATCCTCTACCTCGCCAACGTGAAGACCAGAGCACCTGATGAGCCACGCTTACCATTCTCGGAAGCAGGCTTATGCCGTGTGAAAAAGGGAGTATTTGGCTTAGCTGACAGCCCTCGTCGTTGGTATAAGAGGTTATGCAAGTCAGTACAACACCATGGTTGGCAACTTTCAGCTCTGGATTCGGCCATGTGGTTCCTGTGGGAAGGCTCCAAACTGGAAGGCATCCTCATCTCCCACGTGGATGACTTGCTACTGGCCGGAGGCCCTCGTGCGCACCACACCTTGCAATTGCTGGGTGCCGAACTTGGGTTTGGTTCCACCTCCACCGGAACCATAACCTATTGTGGAAAGAAGATTGAGCAAGCTGAAGATTTTTCAGTGAAAGTTTCCATGGAAGAGTACCATAGCAATCTTCAGCAGGTGCGCATCAACCCACTTCGAAAGAAGAATCCAGAAGCTACTTTGATGCCTGGGAACAACGCCAGCTCAGAGCTCTCCTCGGGAGTTTGCAGTGGCTGGTAGCGCAAGTTCGCTTTGACTTGCAATTTCAGTTGTCGACATTGCAGGGTGCTTCCCAGACCATCGAGACGTTGATCCGCGCTAATGCCTTAGTTAGAAAGGCAAAGCTCCACGCAGACTTCGCGCTGCACTTCAAGCCCTTGGACATGAAGAATGCGGGGATCCTCGTTGTTTCTGATGCCTCGCTTGGCAATGTGACGAAAAGTGGTAGTTCCCACGAAGCGGCCATCAAGAAGGTCTATAGTCAAGCCGCCTACTTTGTCCTCATTGCTGACGAAAACCTCATGAGCGGCAGAGAAGGCAAGTTCACAGTGTTGGACGCCCGGTCTCATAGACTGAACCGGGTATGCAGATCGACATTTGCCGCAGAGTTGTTGGGCATTGAGGAGGCGCTGGATGCCGGGCAATATTGCCGCGGCGTGCTTGGCGAAGCTTTCGGTCATCCACTCGACCGGAAGCCCTTTGACCTTAGCACGGATTCCGTGCCCCTGTTGGTTGTCACCGACGCCAAGGATGCATTCGACAAATCCTGCTCAGAAACGCCGAGCTATGGCAGCCAAAAGAGTTTAGCTTTCACCATAAGCTGGATTCGTTCAATGCTGGCTCGATGCAACACGAGCATGCGTTGGACAGCAACAGAGAACATGATCGTAGACTGCGGCACTAAGGAGCTTGACCCTCAGCACCTTCACAAGATCCTGAAAGATTGCAAGTGGTGTGTACAGTTTTCCTCCCAGTACGTCAAACAGACGTCCAAAAGTAAGAAGCCCATGGCTAACTCACAACAGACCGGAAGGTTGGTGAGAAGTGACATGGGAGTCCCTTTTGAAAGCTCCTCCCCGTTGTTTGGCCATGTGATGAAGCTCTCACAGAGCTCAGGTTGGCATGTTTTGAATGAAGATTTGGCCGTCAACGTGTGCCGTCAGGCTCGTTCATACAGGACCCCAGAGCCACGCTGTTCAAGAACGACACATGCGTTTCGTTCCACTTTTGCCCGCTTTGACAGCGAACATAGTGTGATTTGGCGACAGTTGGAAGACTCTGTCGACATGCGAGAGCTCCAGAATCCTCGATCGATGCTTGAGGAGCCTGTTGCTTTACTCGTGACCGTGTTCAGCCGTTGCCCAACCCCTCAAATGCCACAAGAGAAGGGGATGAACTGTGAAAGTTGAGTTTGCTCTTCGGTGTTGGGCATGCGGAGGAACATGGTTGTTCATGTTCGCTTGGATCAAGGCCTGAAGCCATTTCGTGCTGCGCCTTAGGTGAAAACGGCGCGCTGGCAGACGCTCTTGCTAGTGCGTCTACAATATTTGATGAAACAAATATATCAATCGGGATGATGATTCATGCTTCTTTGACACCGGTCATCCTATTCCATCGCGCCAGAGCGCCGCTGATCATATTGAGGCCGCCGCTCGTCGCATGGCCACCTTGCTGGGAGAATCCGCCGGGGCACCCGGTGGTGGAAGGATCTTCGGAGGAACCACTACCCTAGTAGCTTCTTAATTGTTACTAGTAGTAAGGCCAGGAGCCCGTAGTAGCGTCCTTGCTCCTAGTAGTAAGGCCAGGAGCCCCTAGTAGTTTCTTGGTACTAGTAGTAATGGCCTCCACCCTAGTAGCTTCTTGGATGGGAGACGACTAGAAGACGACAAGTTCTACAAGACGAGCCTGGACTTGGGGGGCGCTTATGAATATTATAGCATCATTCGACAAGGTCAGATTTTGGTTCCTGCTGGAGTGTGTTTTAGTTTGTCTTTACGAGTTGTGGTTCTTTGTAACTTCCTTGTCCATGCGCATCTTTGTTGCCTCATGTTTTTGTCCGTTGGCATCCTTATGAATGAGAAGATTATCCAAACACGTCACCCTTCTCGCTTTGGATGTGCACTAAGTCTGATATTGCTTGTATTTGGTTATGAACCGGTTGATTTCCACATGTCAAATATTATTACAGTAACAGGGCCAGAAATTGAATTGGGCAGCATGCTTTCATCAATGGACGAATCCAACTCCCACTTCACAAATATCCACACCCAGGAGAAGTAGGTAGTAGTCAATGCTTATGACTGTCTAGAGCTCCCACGTCATGTCAACTAGCAAACTGTGGAAAATAAACGCTTTGATACCTTTTATATCCTTTTATTGAATTTTTCCTATTGCCAGTGGGGCGGAATAAATCATTCTGGCAATGCACGAAGAATCCGATGAATTTTTGTTTGGGCTCCAGGTATACAATTTTCAGCGCGCGAATGCTAAAGCCAGGGCGCGGCATGGCTACTTTTAAGACCGCGATTCCAGCTCTCTTGGGAGCAACTTTGGTTCAGCTGGTTCCGTGGAGCTTGCCGAGTTTGAGTGCGCCTTGGCAACTGGATGCATCTTTTCAGAGGTGTTTCTTCACCAACTACTTGTGAGTAGATATCTCACCACCCAGCATGTGCTTCTTTGGTCTTAGTGACTTAGAAAGCACCTGTGTTTAGATTAAACAAAACAAAAACATGTCTTTCAAACGCTACATCTTCCATGTCGGTGAGCGTCTGGCGCTCAGGTCCGGGCGGCCTGGTGTTGGCCGACGACGCCGCCGAAATGCGTGCTGGCCAGCGTGACAGGTGGCGCATGCATGAAGGACGGGCACCGGTGTGCAGGGCGCGTGAGGCATGCAGCAGTGGGCTGGTGATATCCTGATGTTGAAGAGGCAGTCTTATGATTCCGTACATTTCGTAAAAGCTTCCATGATTTATCCCTGGCCCAAGATCAACCCTGGAAATGGGAGCCTTTGCCAGCGTTGGTTTTACATGTTCCTTATTTCCTCCTACATTAATTGGGACTCAGTGATCTCCTGCAAAAACCATGGGATCCTTTCCATCGAAAGCATCAAGTGGTTCTTTGATGTTCTTGTTTTTCCTTTTTGTCCTGTAGTTGGATCTTCACAGGATGGCGTGGCCGTGACCGAACTTCAGCCAGGGGAGATGCCTGCCACAGATGGGGCTGGGTAGGTTGGTCCTGTGCTCAGATAGAATTCGTAGGTTGTTCTTGAAAATTGCAATATGTCCATATGCTGCATGGTCTCAGAGGTTGCCAAGCTGAAAACAACTTGTCCCAACGACCAGCATCAGATTCATGCTGGTTAGCCGTGGCTTATATATGGTTTTGTTTGTCTTTAACGAAAGCCAGCCAATAGGAGAAGGCTGAAGTTGTTCCTTTGAACGAAGTGAGCAATGGCGGTGTGGTCTGCTTTTAGTTGCTTTCATGTGCTTTTTCGTCTGGCAGAGAGCCACCCTTCTGCGTTTCCCAAAACGACCTGCTAGAGCCGGGTTCTTTTAGAATCGGACACGTTGACTGGCTCGACCAGCGAGCAGTTGAACCAGTGGCTTTGACTCCAGCTTTTGTCCCCCCTTCTCAGGCTCTTCGTTTTGAGAAAGGGTACTGTATTTTGTTGCAGTCAGTCTGCAAAGATCTGCAAAGTGTTGGCTGGTGCTTGGTAGTGGCTGGTGAGACGTTAGGTTGAAAGAGCTGGAACCTTAGAGTTACATGGGATCCACTCGACTGGAAGAATCACTTTACTTAACTACCTTGCGCACCATGGGATGCTTGAGTCTAAGACTATCCACTTGGAGAACAAAACCACAACGAATGATTTTGGCACAACTCTAGACTGGCCGTCTAGGACAGCCATGGGCAGGACACACATGTTTTGTAGATTGAAGAGCATGCACACAGGGAGCGGTCTTGAACTTTCCGATGTATGCATTGCAGCATCATATATTTTGTTCCTTCTGAGTTGATCAGGCTTAGATTAGGAGCCTCCACTGTGGCCCACACGCAGGGCTGCTTATTGGCTATTAATCATGTGGTATTGTTAGCTCGAATTAGCTTAGTCCACTGACCAACCCTTGTGTGGGTGCTGGTAGCGGCAAATTTCATTCGACAACCCTACAGAGATTGTCTCCAAACACATTGATTCCGTGAAGCTCCTGACCCAGCATTCTTCAGCCGTTTAATGTTGTTGAATTTTGCAGCCACTCAGGAACTGCACACCGACTTGCAATGATGGACTGAACATCACGGGATCGTGTATCTTTGGCTACGTTGATTGAGTTCAGAGTGAGACGGTGATTGGGTTGGAGTTGTTCCCCTGGAGCTCCATGTGGACATTGATAGTTTTCGCAATTAGGACCCAGACACTCTATGTTTGTCATATATTCCCACGTTGACCCCTCAAACCACCCCAAAGTAGGTAAATATACCATATATGGAGTGTTTGGGGGATGTTCACTACACATTTTACATATTCTGTTCAACCTTTGACAAAGTTGATGTATAGTCCTTTTGTTGCTACGATACTAAGACACGTCAACCATGTTCAACCCAACTTGTTCCACTGAAATTCTGTATCATTCTGTTACATGTCCAACACCATGGCCCCCATGGCCAGACCGGCACATCAACATACATCAACCATGGACCACGGAATTCGTCGCGAACCAGGTACCTCTTTGGCTTGCCCGGTGTCGGCGAACGACGGTGCCGCGTGCCGTGATGATCAATCGGGTCCTTGGTGGGACTGGTGCGGCTATGGAGATGTTTGCCTGGGAGGCCGGGGACCTTCGGTGTGGGGGGGGGGCATTCCCATTCGGAGATAACAAAAGCACACACATCGCATCAGAATTGGTGTGTGGGTTTGGTTTGTGACCTGCAACCTGCTGGGGAACCCTGGAGCTTGGTGGACCGATGCGGACCCGATGGGAGGAAGTTCCCGTTGATCAGGCAGTGAAATGCCCCTCTGGGTTGTGTGCTGCGGTTCTTTTGATTCACAGCAGATCTTTGAGAATCAGGATAGGACATGCAAGAATATTAGTAACATTTAATAACAACGTTATACGTAGATACTAGACTGGTGGGGTCCCTCAGACTGTCTAGACTGAATAATTATCCATATTTGTGGGTGTTCACTAGGAGTTCAGTAGGGATCAAAGAGAAGATCATGCAGTTTAAATCTGTAAATACTTTGGCATGCTGGCTCAATAGAAGCAATTGGCCCCTTGATTCATGGTCAGAAGACTCAGCTGCGCAGGCGCTTGGAACTTGGATTCCGATCAAAATACTGAGCATCAGGAGTACAACTTCGGATACTTCTCTTGCACCTTGGCCAAGAACATATATGAGAGCACATGTCTGGCAGCAGCATGCTGACTGTTGGAGAGGGCTGATCCATGACAAGAAACAACTAATGAGGTTTGTTGCTCAAGCTCTCAAGAGTTCCAGGCTGATGTAAACCAAACGCATGGTGCAATGATGAGGCGCTGATACAAATTCACCGTTGTTTGCCATGCGCCACTCTGGTTGTACTCTTCACAGAAAGCCGCAGAATACCCATATGCATCCATATGCGATGATATACACAGTGTTCATGAGATCTTCAACAGTCAACCAGATCCCCAATTCCATCATGGATGCCCGAAAACTACCGCTGACCTTCCCCCCAAGCGCCAAAAGTAACCCCATCCCGAAACAACCATCCATCGCTATCCATTTCGTTGCTGTTCATCTAAGAAAAAAAGCACATGGAAACACACACATATGAATAGTATTGAGGAGGAGAAGCACCAGGAAAACCTACAAACCAATCAAAATCACCAAAACCACCAGAACAGCAGCTCCGAGGCGTCGATCCCAGCTCCTCCGCCATTTGTGGCGCGCTCGTGGACCCACCCAGTGGCCAGGCCAGGGCGATTGAACTGTTTTTTTTTCCGGCTACATTTGTTTATTTTTCCTCCGGGGAGCGAGTCGGAGCGAGCCTCCTTCAACAGTTTGGCCTTATTTGGGATGGTTTTGGTTGGCCATTGATGTTTCTCTTGGCAACTGGCTGATGGAGTTCGACCAAATGGAGAATCAGACTTGGAGTTCGACCATGGGATTGGATTGGGGATACCTTGCTATCGAACGTCGGACGCATCAAGCTTGACCGGGCAGATCATGGGGACTGAACAGTGTTCAGTCCAGGGCTACAAAGATTCTTGGGTGAGGTTTCAAGAATTCTTCATAGCCATGGCCTGGCTTTGGACTCTTTGGGTGGAGGATGTGTACTATGCAAAAGACATGGAACAGGTAAAATGTTGCCTTCAAACAGAAACATTGTGCTTGTTGCAAGATGCAGGCAAGGCAAGACACCGATGTGCATCATTGCTGCAATAGAACATCATCCTTTGTTGTACAAACTATAGTGAACACAAGTGCTGAAACTGAAACACCAGTTGGCCTGTAGATGTTGATGTGATTTTGACGAGTTTACCGTTTACCTGTTTGTGCTTGCATCAATCCTATTCAAGCGCGGAGAGAGAGAGAGGGAGAGAGAGAGAGAGATAGAGATAGAGAGAGAGAGAGAGGGGTTTCCAATCTACAGGAACATGCGCATGTGCAGAGGGCTTTGAGGCATCCAAATGAGTCCGTAG